ATACTAATTTAATTGGCAAACTATCTTATTCACCTACTGAAATTCAGGGTAAATACACTGAATTTCAGACATTTTTTACTTTCTAGAGGTTTTTTCCAGCGTAGAATCGCCCCAGTAGAGCTCAGCGGAGAATAAAGCTTAATCTTTTTTGTGCCTAAATCATAAAATAAAAAGTTTACCAAGATATTAATGGCTGATATTTCAGCAAACTGCACCTCTGAGTGGGATCTTTGAATTCTCTGAGCTGTGCTGGGCTGACTGGTTGTCAGCTGCTGATTAATTCCTCTCATTAACATGCCACAGGCCACCGGCCTGCAGACTGATCACAGAACAGTGGCCATTGATCTGCTGCGGTTGCCTGGGGTGCTGCAACCTGCGTGTTAATTAACAGCCTCTGAAGCCGAGGGGCCGGCGGGGGAGGGGGGTTAGAGCCCCGGAATGAAACTGAACTCACCTAGACGACAGCTCCAGGAAACCCTCCGTTTTGTGGTTGCCGATGATTCCGTTTCTCTCCACATTCTCCGTAGATTTCATCGTCTGTTTCTGGTTTATTGAACGATTCATAACGAGCAAAGAGTCTGCGGCTCCTGAGGGCCTGAAACCCGGATGGAAGAATCCAAAGTGTGTTTATCTGAGGTGTAGGAAGGAGGGCTTGGCGTTTTTTGGGGAAGACAGGGGTTAGGGAAGATCAAAGACGTTCTCTTTGACGCCCCGAGGGACAGAAAATGGTGCATTCTGGGAGAAAAAAGGAGGCCGGAGAGAAACAAACAAAATAAAAACCATGCAGTCCTCAACCTCAGGTAGAATCCTCCGCTTTCTGAGATCAGATGGAACAGATCCGGCCGAGAGAGAAAAACCAGAGCGACGGCGGCCTGGGGGGGGCGCCGGTCCCGCACAAACAAGTCATTTACAATAAACACAGTCAGGAAATTCAGAAAGTTTGCTCCTCGGATTGTTCCAGAGAGAGAGGAGGAAGTGACATCCCGCCGCCTCCCTCCATCTTCTCAGACCTAAAGGCACTCCAGATCAGCCTCTCGGAAGCACATTTTCAGCTGCCCCCCCCTCCCCGTAAATCCTAAAAGTTTTTCCGTTCTCCAAAACAACAAAGAGAGCAAAGTAAAGGTCGGGTTTTTGAAAAAAACGTAGAAGCCCCTTTTTCTTCATCAAGGTCTTCTTTACTTTTTAAATCCAATTTAAAGTGCGTTGATGAGGTAAACTACTTCTTCATAGTTTATTTGCCAGTTTTTTTTTTTTTATATTTATTCTTTTTTATTACGTATTCGTTCTTTTGTAGGAAAAAAGTGTCTTTGATTCCTTTGTTAGCGCCTCTCAGACAGGAACCATTCTGCCTTGGATGTGTTGCATTTGGGACAGCATAGTCTGGACGCTGGTCAGGATCTTGTTCTGATGTGCAGCAGAGGAGATGCCGATGCGCGCCATGTCCCTGAAACAGAGCACAAAATCAATCTTTTAGGACCGAAAAGGACGATAAAAAAAACAAACCTTCCTTTTTCTAACTGGGAAAATAAATATGTGCTACATTAAAAAAACGTTGTCCTTTATTCAAGATGCTACATGCTAGCTCACACGGTTGGCTACATGCTGTAACTATCTGTGTCGCTTCAGTTCTTAATATTTTTTGGCGATATTTCAAGCACAGAAGTGAAATATTTTTTCAGGGCTCCAATCTGTGTGTTTGTTTTTTTGTGTTTGTCTCCCTTCCTCCAACAGGAGGCGCCTGGTTCTGGTCCGCCTCCTCACACACCTGCTGATGGTTTCCTCGTTAACGGAGTGTTCTTAAGCTGCTGACTGCCGCTACCTCGACGCCAGAGTGTTTGCCAGTTTAGGGTACTCTAGCCAAGCTGAGTTTTAACTTTGTTTTTTGTCTTTGCCTCTCGGCAGGAAGTTGTCCAGCAAACTGGACCTTTTCGGACCTTCACTCCCTGGAAGGATTAACTGAGCCTCAAACTGAGCTGGGCATTCAACTGGAGGTTTGGATCCAGTTTCCCAGAGAGGACGTTGAGTTTACACACTGAGCAAGGGAGTCATCTCCACTACGACCCGTTCAAGTACCGCAGGAAATCTGAGTGGCAGTAAGTTTTCCCTTCACCTACAACCGACCGTGTTCCGGGTAAACCCTGTCCGCCCTCCACTGAATCAGAAAAACACTGGAATACAGCACACAGATTGGATTTAAAGATTCTACAACTTCTCTGGAAACCTGAGTCAACAACCGGATCCTCTTCTCCAAATCTACGAATGAAATTTCCCACTGAGCCTGAACTAATCGCTGTGTCTTCCCCTCACCTTCCAGTTCCGGCTGAGCAGAGTTCAAAGCAACACTGCTTTATCTCCTCAATAAACCTGTTAAACCTTTTTCCCCTGGTCTCTCTGAATTGGTTTCTCTGCATGTGGGTCCGAACTTTAGATAAAACCATTTCAATATAACATAACCAATAAACATGCTGTGTAAATTCATGGCTGCGCCAAAAATTGTAAAGGTCCCGGAAGTAAAAAAAAAAATAGCCTAGCAAAAACAAAAAATGGGAAAATTCTGCAAGTGGAAAAAACAACTAAAGCTTTAAAAAAAAAAGCTGCAAACTACGGCGCATGATGGAAGTACTCCACGCCACTAGGGGGAGACGATCAAAAGTCTGTGAAACTCAATGTTCTGCTGCATGAGGATGTGATCTTAATGGGATCAACTGACCATCTGGGTAAATATTAATGTTCGTGCGAAATATTGAACCTGACTCCGCCAGATGGATTTGTTCCGCATATCCATCTGGAAACCTTCCATTGAAGTAATTTTGGGAAGGG